AATTTATAATTAATTACGGATTAGCTTATCCTAAGGATACAAGTGTCGGAATATCAAGCTGCGAGTTTAAAGCAATATAAAACACAACACCATATATTAGTTTGTATATTAAATTCAATTCCATAACCTTTTACCAATATAGATCAATCAATATATTTTAAAAATAAATATAATTTCCAATATCGATAAAAAATCAATAATATAAACCTCATCTATACTTATATAAATATACCTCCCAAAATCAATATAAAATCCTTCATACAAAAATACACTTATTTCACCAATCTATTACAAATACATTCAAACCAAAACCAATAATTCCTACATCATTGTTGTTTGTCAAATCCCACCCCCCAAACCTATTTATTTTATAACCTATATATGTTCATTATTATATATAATTACATCAATAAATTTCATATATCATAAAATAAACCAATATAAATAGTATTCATTATCAATCAAATTATCAAATTCAATTACATTTCAAAAAATCCTAATATCATAATTCATTCAATCCCCATATTTCAAAAAATACTATTTCACAACCTAACCATCCCAATTTAGCAAACATTCTTCAAACACAACCCCCATACCAAAATAAATTCCATCAATTCATATATAATATTGAAATACATTTAAAACAAAATATCAATTCACACAATCTCAAATCCAAATCAAAAAACCACATAAACTAAATAATCAAGCAACAATCCAAAACCACAATCTAAATTACAAAGTTTAACAAAATTGAAAACAAATACCACCCCTCCCCATACCAAACCCAAACCAACACACCCCGAACACCACGGGGGGGGAACACCTAGGGCGCTGTAGGATACATACAAAAATATATATATGTTGGTAATTCATTCATATGTCTGCAAATCAATATGTTTTTGGTTATTTGATCATTTCGCAATTCAATTTGAGGTAAGCTCCAGCCTGACAAAACATTCAAGCCTCACTTCGCATTGTCTCAAACAAATGGTGCCTTTGTCATTCCAATTTAGGGTCAAAGCAAAGTTGCCTTGAAGAACAACACGCTCGCCTGTTGCTTGAAATTGGCTTCAAAACACAAGGCGGTTTCCCCAAAGCAAGGAGCCACCCACTTGGATTCTGGGATGAATTCAGGCAGCAGGTCAGCGGCCTGCGCGATTCCTTGTGACATGCCACCCCGCAGCTCAAAGCCGTCCTGCTTGGCGAAAACCTGCGGAGGATTTTGTGGTTTCTCTGACAATGGATGTGGGGAACTCTCAAAGCGACCCAACTATTTAAAGCACCAATCAAACAAAGGCAAATCAAACCACTCCCAACAAATGGGCGCGTTTTGCCTCCAGGGTACCTTTTTGTTGGGAGTCGCTTTCAAGGGAACCAACAGGGAAACCCGGCCATTTTGGGAGGTTCCCCATTTAGAGACAACACCCCCTTCCCCTTTTTCTTGGGTCACTCGGTCACTGGGCTGCGGCATCGATGTTTTGCAGGCAAGAGACCATCCCTCAAAACCCTCAGCCGCTTCCCAAAGATTTCACCGCGGTCGTTTCACTTTCAAAATGATTTGTGTTCAAGAACAGAACTCTACTCCATCAAACACTAGACAACATGCCCAATCGAAAAAACTCGCCCCCTGGAAGGTGGTCCCAGGCAGGAACTGTCATCGCAACAACATGTGAGCAATACTGTTTCTATCATCACATGATGCTTTGTCAGACTTGTTACAATTTCAAGTGTGGGCAGCATTGCCGGAATTACGCCAATTGCCGGAATCACGCCAGGCGTATTTTACAAACCCATCCTGCCTTGGAGCAGGTTGGCCGAGCATCGCAAGCACGCTTTGCCTGCATTGAATGTCGGTCATGCTGTCTAAAACACGTGCCAGGGCTACACACACATGTGGCACAAAAAAAATGTGCTCCCGAAACTTATTTTCCTTCAGCATCCTTCGAATGAAACCGCACCCGGTATTTGTTTGGCCCAAGACTAGAATCAGAGCAAACACAACTTAGCTTGGAATCTGAATGGGTAGGTACAACATGCTGACAAGTGGGGCCCTGCCTCTTCCAAGCTCGCGAAGCGATAGCAAAGAAGTTCACAAACTCCCTGCTCTATGGCCTGCTCCGCAGAGTAGTCGCCTCACCAGGCATTCAGAAGTGCAGCTAGCTGCCAGCACAGCATCGGCAACAACGATTCTGTGCACTCTGTCCCATCTGAACCTAAATCCTCCAACTCTTTGTGGATCATGATGCGGTGCTGCCCAAAGCACTCCACATGATTCGACTTCATCTGTTTCATGGCAAAAACACTCTGCTCTAGAATGACCTAACCGACATCCTCTGCGCCAACACTTGTGCAAGGCAGCACTTCATTTCTACTCTGGCATCTTCTTTGGATCACCTGTGCATTCAGCGTAAGTGCCATTCATGTTCAGGACCCAGCGGCCACTTTGACGACAAGGCTCAGTGCGCATCTTGAGGTGACGGCTTTGGGGGTTTATCTTTGAGGATGTCTTTGCGGGTGTCTTTGTGGTTGTCAGGGTGATGTCTTTGGGGTGACTTTGGGCATGTCTTGCGGGTTGTCTTCGGGAATGTCCGTGCGGTTGTCTTTGGTGATGCCTTCGGGGATGACTTTGCAATGTCTTTGGAAGGGCAGAATGCCTCAGGAGGGTGTCTTTGGGGCTGGCTTTGGGGATGTCTGTGCTAGGTTTTCTTTGGGGGGGGTGTCTTTGGAAATGTCTTTGCGGTTGCCTCGGGCGATGTCTTTGGGGATGACTTTGGGAATGTCTTTGGAAGAGGTCTTCGGGTGACGGCTTTAGGCAGAATGTCTTTGCGGTTTTCTTGGGTGATGTTTTTGGGGATCACATTGGGGATGTCTTTTTTGGAAGGTGTCTGGAGGGGACGTCTTGGAGGGTGTCTTTGCGGTTGTCTTGAGTGATGCGTTTGGAGATGACACTGGGATGGCTTTTTGGAAATCTTTGGGAATCGTGAGCGGGATGTTGTTAGCAGCATCTATGGGGTCTTCGTTTGTGGATTTCTTGGAGGGGGTTGCCTTGCAAAATGTCATTGTTGTTGTTTCTGCTGGAAAATCTTGCGTTGGGGTTAGTTTTGGGGGCGCTTGCAGGGATGTCTTTGCATCGAGACAGTACGGTCTGCTTTGGAGACTGCTTTGATTTTGGGGTGTCCTTGGGGATGCTTTTGGGCATGTGGTGAGGAATGTTTTTGTGGACTACTTTCAGGGAATCTTTCTAGTCATGTTGTTGGGGCTGTCTGGGAATGCTTGCGGGATTGCACATGTTTGCATTCGCGTTCATGGGCCTCTATCAGGTTTTGCCCATCGCTTTCGCCACTTTTGTGTGTTCTTTTTCGGGGGCTTCCTTTCTGTGGGGTCAGTTTGGTGTCGGCTTTGCGTTGGCTTTGGATTGGCTTAGGACTGTTTGGGGTGGTCGCACTCAGGGTGTGTTCAGGGATGGTTTGGAATGGTTTTGGGCTGTTTTAGGGTTTGGGTGATCTACTAGTAGGGCGTGTTTCTTCTTCAGGGAGGGGTGGCCTCTCAGGTGATTTGAAAGTACCCACCTTTGGAAGGCAACTTCCTGTCACGGGAACCACCTGCCAGCTTCGAGGTTAGTAAGGGTAGCCGCGGAAATGTGCGGTCCAAGCGGCATCTTTGGGTCTGCGCATCCGACAGGCGCTGGGAGGCCTCGACAAAGCTGGGGTGGGCACGGAGCCGGTCCATCGTGTCCTCGTGGACCAGCCACAGGTCCTTGGCCAGGGGCGATCGGTTCCCCTCAGGCCCTCCAAGATCTAAAGAGCGGGGTCTCTGGTTTTAGGGAAACTTCTACTTTGGGCTTTTGGTTAATGTGTGAAAGCCCCCCCTCCCTCATTTGAGTTTGGGGGCCCATGTGTTCTTCCAAGTTTGTGAATTACTATAGCTCACCCAGAAAGATGGTCACCGCGTCATCTGGGAATTGCGTTCGCACATGGCCATCGGAGAGGCGGCATACATTTAAATTGGGTCTTCAAGGTTTCACTTACATGTAGGTTGTTTTAACCCTCGGGTTGCTTTGCGCATCGAAAAACCCTGCTTAAAACAGCTGACACCAAGACCACAACATGAAGCTTTGGCGACATGTTCACAACTAGGCAACCTTCATCATTTGATAAGTCGCATACCCGTTTGGAGGTCGATCTTTGCCAGCCGAAAGGGCGAATATCTGCACCTATGGTTGAGGACAGTCCCCCAACTTTCATCTACCCAGGAGGGATAGCAAGCACCGCAGCTGCCCAAAGATTTCTATTTACAAGTTCCCTTTGGTCTGAGATGCAGCCCCCAAAAACCAACCCCAAAACTCCGAAAGTAAGAGTTGTTCTTTGCCTTCCGCATTCGTTGTAAACCATTCGCCAAGGTTCTGTGTGGTATCCGTGCGCGTCCGGCGCCAACTCTTGCAGCTTGGTGGCACGGCAGTCCACTTGAACCTGTCACCAACTGCGTCTGTCTTGAGTTTTTGACGGTTCAGGGTTGGATTTCGAGTGAATATGCGGAAACGGGCAAAAGCCGCCAAAAGCCGCCAAAATCTGCAAAACAACGGTTTGGGTGGCTTAGGGCTGGATTCTTATGGTTGGCTCAAAGTTGGTTCAGGTGGTTTAGGGTTGGTTTGTGGTGCCATAGCAGGTTGCCTTGATGCGGGCCGAGGGCAAACAATTACCCCGGCACGAGACCCCAAACAGTGATAGGCGGCGGTCACACGCTGCAGAGTATTGTGCGGGCAGCGCCGCAAAACGGCGGTTGTTGTCAGGAAGCTGCAACATCATTTTGCGGTATTCACGCGCACACTCACAAAGACGAGGACACGTGTGTGGGAGTAGAGACACATGCAGCACCAAGAAGAAAAAAGGCGCACAGCAATGGCCAGCAGGCATGCTCGTTTTTCTTCCATGAGCAGCACATACCGGTGAGACGGCAGAATCGCAGTACAGGGCTGCTGGGATAGATGCGTGGCACTGCGCGCAGCCGCAGCAGGCCAGTCTGTTGGTAGATGCAAAGGCGCTGCGGGTCAAGGCGTGGTAGCTTGTTGCTGCGCGGCGCACGCAGAGTGCTAGTGGCAAGCTCTCGCAGCACAGAAGCGTTATCAAGGCAGGCCCAAAGACTGGGCTGTCTGGCTTGGACCCTTCCACAGCAGGCGTGTACATAAAGCGCGCGCTCCCAGATCGCAGGGCGCACAAGAAGGCGTCAAACTCATTTGGCGCCATGTTATCGAGGCAGTTCATGCGGTGCAGCGCTGCGAGGGGCGGCAGGCCGCGAAGGCGCGGATGTTGGTCGATCCACTGTTGCATGGTAGCTTCGTCTGCACAGCGGAAAGAGTTGTCAAAGAAAGTCGGCAGGCGGATTTGTGCATGGATCCACTCGGGCGCATTCCAAGACACACGCACGTCAATGACATCGTGCGCCAAGAGCCCTGGCAGCCACAGCCGTGTTGCCAGGATAAAATTTGCGTAAGCTTCTACTTCTTGGCGTACGGCACGGGCGCGCTGCATCCAGACGCGGCAACGTGCAGCACAGCAGGTCGTCATGAGCCGCAAGAACAAACAGACATCGCCTAGACACGCGGCCTGAGCGCAAAGCACGGGGTACATAGCAGCAGGCGGTCGAATACGTGCGCTTTCTGCTGGGGCGAGCTGTACTGTGGCGAACGACTTGGGTGCTTCCGGCGGGCTCGTCCAAAGCCCGGCAGATTGGCGGCACCGCGTGTCTCCAAGGGGCCAGCAGGCGTTGCGTCATCTTCACGCGCAGCCGCAGTGTTGTTCGAGAGCGCGGCGGTCTCAGCGTCAACGATACTCGGATGCGTCAGGCAGCGTCGAGGCATGAGTACGGAGAGTGTCGGCGGCAAAAGGACGGAGCTGAGCCAAAGCGACACGACTTCCACGCACAGGAGCGTTGTTGCATGCAGCATGGAGGTAAGACAAGGCATGTGAGGAAGGAACACACGGCTTCGTGCGTAACTAGTGTGTGGATGAATAAATTACAGAGTAGGGGGCAAAGGAACGCGACTGCATTTTTCCGCGAGCAAAGCATGGCAGCTGAAGTGGGGCTGTGTCGAAAAGAACCAACTTGTGCTTGCTTCTGGCTAACTACTTTTCTTATTGTGTTCCACCACAACAAAGTGCATCCGCTGCAGTTACGCGCAAGGTTGGACATCGGCTGTCCCTGCGCAACCGCCAGCGGCGCACGTGCAAGCTTGTGCCGGAACGCGCAAGGACACGCGCAGGGACACGCACATACAGGCACACATGCAGACACATAGAGGAATTGGCGCGATGCAGTTGTGAAAGTATGTTTGAACCGCAGTTCTAGGCAAAGTGAAGCAAAGCTAGTGCACGTGTGCGGACTCAGGAAAGTGAGCAGTGTGTGGGGGATCGCAATACGAAATGCCAGTGGCGGAACACGCGCAGCGCAATGTGTGCGCTCCGAGTTGCGCGGCGCCTGCGTTCGATTTCTGAAAGAAACGCCAGTCAGCGACGCTTCGGGTTGCACGCGCGGGTGAGGGCACAAGCCCGAGCAGTTCCGGCGCGTTGGTGGAGCAAAGCGTGCAGGTTACCTTGGCGATGCTGCTGGAAGCCGCGCCTGCCGATGTGCGCGCGGAATTCAAGCATGTCATGTGTCTTGGGAGACCTTGCGGCTGCGCAGGCGGGTGCTTTGTTGGAAGGTTTATCTTCGGATCGACAGGGCTTATGGACGGCGTGCGAGAACGCAGGGATTAGCCGGAAACAAGGTGGGAGAAGTTTGCAGCAGGAAGAGCTTCGGGCGCTGGTGAAGGACAAGCTTCTCGCCCTGCTGCCGGCGGTTTCATTGCAGGCTCTTCTGGACTACGCCGTGCCTGGCGAGATGGGGAGGGAACTGGAAGAGTACGGAGAGGTCCTCGTGGCGGCGCAGGAGGCGGCCAGAGTGACAGAGCTCCTTCGCGCATTGGGAGCGGGCGCAGATGAGCTCAGGAAAGTGAGCCGTGTGTGGGGGATCGCAATGCGAAATGCCAGTGGCAGAACACGCGCGGTGCAAAGTGTGCGCTCCGAGTTCAAGTGGGGCCAAAGGTTGTGGATGCACGCCTTCCCGGCTTAGTTCAAACATCATTTCACGTGGAGCCAGTGGATGTGGACGCACACCAGGCCGGTTCCCTTGAGAGGGAAGGAAAGCACCGTCGTCTGAGTTGCAACAAAGCCCTGGTCCTTTTGGTGTCCTCCAAGCGCACCGATCAACAAGAAGCTGCCAGCGGGCTCCGTTTGGTCACCAAGGACATCATCGATGGTTTAGCAGAGGCAGACGCTGCCGCGGCCGAAAAATTCACAGCCATAGCTTACTGCACTGTTCATAACTTGAAGGATTTCGTCTTGGACCCACCTCGGACGGGCAAAAAGTTGCAGTGTGCCTTGGCCATAGCGTGCTCCAAGTCTGCGACGGAAGGGCAAGCCGAGCTCATTGTGGAACAGCTGCAGCTGCTGCGTGAAGCAGATGTTGACGTGGCCACGAAGTGCATGCGCCAACTGCTCCTGATGTCTAGCGTGACTGCTACGCGCGGACCTCCGCCTGACACGCATGCTCCCTGGACAGAGTCGACAGCGCCCGCCGTGCAACAAGCCCTTGGCCCAGCTCTGAGTGCATACCCGCGTGGAGAGCCGTGGGCGAATGCACCTACAGCACCGGAGCGTACACGCCTGCAGCGACTGAGCGAATCTTGGAACCCTTGCGGCTGCGCAGGCGGGTGCTGGAAGTGTCTCTACGGATCGCTGACGGACGGAATGCAAGCGCGCAAGGAGCAGCTGGTTTTGTCGACGCAGACCCACTTCAGCTGCCGTGCTTTGCTCGCGGATAAAAACAGTCGCGTTCTTGCGCCCCCCGTGCGTTGTATTTGCTGCTCCACACACTATTCACGCACGACTCCATGTGTTCCTTCCTCACATTCCTCGTGTGTGCACTCAACGTGTCATGTTCCTTGCTGTTGCACTGTAAAACTCGATAGCGCCAAAGGGCTCAGAGATCTTGCGTGGTGGTGGGTTGTTGCCCTACCTGGTTGCTCATCTGCACCCGCTCCCAATGCACGAAGGAGCTCTGTCACTCTGGCCGCTTCCTGGGCCGCCACGAGGACCTCTCCGTACTCTTCCAGTTCCCTCCCCATCTCGCCAGGCACGGCGTAGTCCAGAAGAGCCTGAAATGAAACCGCCGGCAGCACGGCGAGAAGCTTGTCCTTTGCCAGTTCCAACAAAGCACCCGCCTGCGCAGCCGCAAGGTCTCCCAAGACACATGACCCGAGATGCTCGAATTCCGCGCGCGCATCGGCAGGCGCGGCTTCCAGCAGCATCGCCAAGGACCAACGCGCCGGAACTGCTCGTCGGGCGTATGCCCTCACCCGCGCGCGCAGCCGCAGACGCAGTCATGCCCTGCTCCGCCCCGCCCGAAGCGTCGCTGACTGGCGTTTCTTTCAGAAATCGAATGCAGGCGCCGCGCAACTCGGAGCGCACACTTTGCGCTGCGCGTGTTCTGCCACTGGCATTTCGTATTGCGACCCCCCGCACACTGCTCACTTTCCTGAGCTCATCTGCACCCGCTCCCAATGCACGAAGGAGCTCTGTCACTCTGGCCGCTTCCTGCGCCGCCACGAGGACCTCTCGGTACTCTTCCAGTTCCCTCCCCATCTCGCCAGGCACGGCGTAGTCCAGAAGAGCCTGAAATGAAACCGCCGGCAGCGCGGCGCATGACCCGAGATGCTCGAATTCCGCGCGCATCGGCAGGCGCGGCTTCCAGCAGCATCGCCCTGCACGCTTTGCTCCACCAACGCGCCGGACTGCTCGTCGGGCTTATGCCCTCACCCGCGCGCGCAGCCGCAGACGCAGTCATGCCCTGCTCCGCCCCACCCGAAGCGTCGCTGACTGGCGGTTCTTTCAGAAATCGAACGCAGGCGCCGCGCAACTCGGAGCGCACACTTTGCGCTGCGCGTGTTCTGCCACTGGCATTTCGTATTGCGATCCCCCACACACTGCTCACTTTCCTGAGCTCATCTGCACCCGCTCCCAATGCACGAAGGAGCTCTGTCACTCTGGCCGCTTCCTGCGCCGCCACGAGGACCTCTCCGTACTCTTCCAGTTCCCTCCCCATCTCGCCAGGCACGGCGTAGTCCAGGAGAGCCTGAAATGAAACCGCCGGCAGCACGGCGAGAAGCTTGTCCTTCGCCAGCGCCCGAAGCCCTTTCTGCTGCAAACTTCGCCCACCTTGTTTCCGGCTAATCCCTGCGTTCTTGCACGCCGTCCATGAGCCCTGTCGATCCGAAGATAGACCTTCCAACAAAGCACCCGCCTGCGCAGCCGCAAGGTCTCCCAAGACACATGACCCGAGATGCTCGAATTCCGCGCGCACATCGGCAGGCGCGGCTTCCAGCAGCGTCGCCAAGATTATTGCGCCCATGGCTGCGCAAGCATCACTACAAAAGGCAAGATCTGTGTGTTTGTTTCAACAGGGTGCCTGAGTTAGTGAGTTAGCTAGCTAGGTAGCTTCTTCCTTGGTTCTCGTTGTTTTGTCTCTGTATTTCTGTCTTTCTATGAATGTGGCGCTGTTGCTGTTGCTGTTGCTGTTTGGTTGTTGTTACCATCGAGAAGCCGTCGCAGCACAGAAGCACCATCCAAGCATGCCCAAAGAAAGGGAAACAAGCTCGCGCGGACAGGGCGGGAATCGAGCCCGGGACCTTTCGCCGGAAACCCTGGAGCCGCCAAAAAAGTAAAGAAATCGAGTTTGTGCGAGCCTGCGTAATCGAAACGCGCTTCAACATCAAGCCAAAGCAAGCATCTGCGGTAAATACCACGCAAAACGCTCGCGGACAGAAGTCGACACCTCACTTTCTGCGAGCCTGCGCAGTCGAAACACATTTCAACATCAAGCAAAAGCACGAATCTGCGGCACATACCACGCGAAACGCTCGCGGACAGAAGTCGACACCTCACTTTGTGCGAGCCTGCGCAGTCGAAACGCACTTCGACATCAAGCAAGAGCACGAATCTGCGGCACATACCACGCAAAACGCTCGCGGACAGAAGTCGACACCTCACTTTGTGCGAGCCTGCGCAGTCGAAACGCACTTCGACATCAAGCAAGAGCACGAATCTGCGGCACAGACCACGCAAAACGCTCGCGGACAGAAGTCGACACCTCACTTTGTGCGAGCCTGCGCAGTCGAAACGCACTTCGACATCAAGCAAGAGCACGAATCTGCGGTACATACCACGCAAAACGCTCGCGGACAGAGCGGCACCTCAATCTGGCACCAAGGCCTTTTCTCTTACCGTAAGAAACCCTTAGTGTAGACACACTGTTTGGGGAAAAACAAGGTCGCGGGTGAACAAATAGGGTTGCGGATGAACAAAGGTGAGATTCCCGAGCGCTAGAAACACAAGCTTCCTCTAGATGGTTGCGAAACAGAGTTTCAGTGAAAGGGTGACAAAACAAGTTTGGAGAGTGAGGAAAAAAAGGAGCCCCCTACTTTGGGCGCCCCCATCCATTTTGACGCATACTCATATGAGCGACAAGCTCTTGTCGGTCTTTTGGGGCGTCTCCTATCGGTTATCAGCGTTTTGCGCAGCGCATAATCCGCAAGCTCGCGCTTTCATTTAGCGGTGGCAAGGCCAGGTGGGGAAACACGAACGAAACAGAAGAAGAAGGAGAAACAGAAGGAGGAGCAAAAGGAGAAGGAGAAGGGGAAGGACAAGCGCGCAAGCCTTGCACACAAAGTACACTTCCGCAGCTCCAGCTTGAAAATCGCAACTTTGTAGCACGAGCGTCGCACGCAAAGTACACTTCCGCACAAAAATCCAAGCCTTGTAGTGCAAGTGTGGCACGCGAAGTACGCTTCCACACCCAGCAGTGTAGTAAGCAAAGTACACTTCCGCAGCTCCAGCTCGAAAGTCCAAACTTTGTAGCACAAGTACACTTCAAGGGCATTTCATGGCACATGGGCGAGTGTTCATTCGACAGGTCAGGGCATTGGTTGGGGTGTCGGTCAAGTATCGGTTGGGGTATGGATTGGACCGTGGATGATTTGGTTGCAAAACGTTCTCTCTGAGATGTAAGGTATCATGCTTAGGGGTATCGCTTTTTGGGGCGTCCCCAATCGCTCATGCATGTTTTGCAGAAACCAAAGTGCAGTTTTGCTTTAAGTCCTTTGTCGACTTTGTCGGGCACTCATAAACCAGCAGCCGAACAACGGGCGCTCCGCATTGAATCTCCGCTCAAGCGGCGTTTGCCACCACGAAGTCCCAGAGCTCCTGAAGCGCCTCGCTCTTCTGGTCCGCCAGGTCGCCCCCAGAGCACGACAGCCCTGTGGGCAGCAGGATGCCTCGATTCCCGGCTTTCCCCACGGAGGGTAACCCACCAAAAGGGAAATTTGATAGGAACCCGTCCAAAAACTCCCGGTCTTTCCGGCCAAAATACAAAAGACACAAGAAGGGTAACACGGACTTCCAGGGCATTTGCCTCGGAACGCATTGGCTTGGCAACGGTCTGGGGTTTGCCCGCGCTCGGGACCCTTGTTTCAGAACTCGCTTATAACAAAGCTCGTATTGTCGAAAGTCAGGATTGCGAGCAAATTTCGACTTCTAGAACTCCTGTTGCGAAACGAACCTCAGAACGTGACTGCTTTACCCTTGTTCCCAGAATCCCCTAACGTGTACATGTTGTCATGGCAATGCGCAGATAATGCCCCCTCCCTGAGCCAGCAGGTTGACCAGCTGCAAACTGCCACTGGTTTGTTTCACACACGCTCCAGGTCCAAACAGCTAAGGCCTAGCATCAACTACTCTTTCTGTATACTGTACACTAACCCCAAACTCCCACACCCTTTGTGGCCAAAACCGCCTGAGTTGTTCCGAACACAGGTCCACTCGCATAAAGGAGCAACATGCGTGCGAGCGAACCCAGCATCAGGCCCTAACTCACCAACCTCCAATGGGAAATGGGCCAAAGAAAGGAGCCTCACCATGCGCAAGGTCAACTCGCCTTAGGTCGCCATCAATTCGGCCAAGCCCCATGGCACACCGGTTTCGTGCAAGGTCTACGGCTTTGAAACATTGTTTGAGGAACGTGCTGCTGGGCAACAATTGTGAAAAGAATCACTTATAGTTGTCCCGGCTGAGGCTGCATCTCTCCGTGTGTGTGTGTGCGAAACTGCCTCGGCCGCTGAACATTGCAATTTAAGACGTGCCTATATCATTGCCAGTGGCCCTCAAGGGATCTCAAGGGCAAACTTGTGCAAACAAACAACCAGCCACTTGCGCTGGACGGGCAGCGACCGAAGGATTCGATAAGTTCTCCAATGAGCTCAGCGGCACTGCCAGGGTCGCGGCGACATGCTTTGCAAAGTCTCCAGCGCGGTTCGGGAGGCTTCGGAATGATCGTATTCCATCTGCACCACCTGAAGCAACGGACTCTCAAAGAGACAACTGAACTGAGGAACTGCATGCCCGAAATCCTTGATAGACAAACCTGCAACAAATAACAAACAATATCAAACAATCACTCGACTCGACTCAAACCAGGACCCTCCGCCAGGCCTGCACAGCCCCGGCTTGTAGCAACCTCTCCCCAGAGCGAAAGGCCTCGGTCTCGCAGCCGCGGCAATCAGCTTTCAGCAAGCAGACCTGGCAAAGGAGGTTGAAAGGAGGTTGGCTTACAAAGGTTGGCTTCTTATTGGCTAGTGACCAAAGTTGGTGCTTTCGGGGATAGCCTCTTTGGGATATTGAGGGGAAGCCAAAGGCAAAGTGGCCGTTTTGGGCGGTCCCCCCACTTCGGGACAAACCCAAACCAGGGTCCAAAAAGCGACCCCTACCTTTGGTGGCGCAAACGATCACGATCGGCTGCCCCTGGAGAGCACCCTCAAGGTGCCAGGCATCGAAAAGGGGTGGCAATACCTTTGACAACTCCCAACTGAAACTCCGATTTGTTTCTTCCATGGGTTGACCTCAATTTCCCATAAGAACTAGACAACAACAAGGCCCCTGATTTGGGACATTGCGGTTCCCGCCTTGGCGCTGGAACTCACCACGTCATCCAAGCGCAAGGCTGTCGCTTCCGTCTTGCCTTCGCCCGCTTCGCGGCTGGCAGACCTGCGGCTATCGTCCCTGGGGCATCTCTGCAAGTATCACATGGTATCACAATGTTTGCAACAGGAAACTCAGTCCAGGGCCCAAGAAAGTGCTGAAAGCCGCCGCGGACAAGCTGTTGGGCCTGTTGAAGGGAACAAAAGAATAGACCAAACGCCCTGATCATCCCTGACTGCCCAAAGCGGCCCAAAAGCCCGGCCTCTTCTCCCACCAGCGGGTTTCGTCCACGAAGAGCTGGCCCCCCTCTGTGGCCAATCCACCGTGGCGAAGCTGTACTTTGTCCCAGCCGTTGAGCTCCAGCGTCTTCGCCATGTACCTGAATATCTATCTAAGGGACCGACGTTTTCGGAATGATGGCTGTCTGTCGAGGCAATCCTCGTCGAAAGCAAACAAGAGAGAAACCAAGCAGCTTTGGGGGACCCCTATTTTGAGACACCAACTGCGGGGCCATGGGCAGAGGGGCATAGTGTACATTTGCACTTGATCGCCTTTCATGAATGGGAACAACCAGTGTGTGGCCAAACTACGTATTGGTGGGGTGCGTCCCGCGTTTCGAGTGTTCGGCCCTATTCGACTCCGCAGCGAAGACATGTGCTATTTTGACTGTTCTTGCCTTTGATTCTCCTCAAAGCTATCCAAGTGGTTTGCTGTGGAGTTGATGGAGCAAAGAACGGCTGGTTCCATTGCGGCTGCAGAGACCATTTATGCCGACAAAATGAAAGCACCTCATGGGTGATAGGCGATGGACATCGACCCCTCAAAGTTTTGTATCCAAAGAAGATGTGCTTCATTTGCTTCCGACTTGGTGGGAGTCTTGAATGTTTATCAGAAACAAAGGAACTGGTTTTTGCCCACCCATCCTTTTGGGAAGGCTTTCGTTTTGCTTGAGCTTTTTTGGAGGTTGCGACTAAGAGCGTGCTTTCCGGGAACTAGATGCTTTAAATGTTGTGGGTCGACGGTCGGGGTGTCAAATTTTTTGCTCTCAAGTCATCGCCAAGATTCTCGACTGTGAGCACCTGGGGCATTCTGTGTCCATCCATCAATGGGGGTTGTCAAACCTTTTTGAGGGGCGTAAGGCCGCATGGTTCTTCAGGCACGCGCTGGGCAAATTACGATGTTGTGGTGGTTGGAACACCCTGGGCACCCTAATGCTATCTAAGCCTTTCACAGGGATCTTCCACCATGGAAATACCAAACAACACCAATTAGACAGGCCGCCAACACCGCATTGAGGTTTGGGCTGTGACTATCCCCCCAAGAACAGCCATACTCCAGCGGAGAAAAGTAAAGGCAACACAAATGCCGCATCACTACGCAGGAATCGGTCCAAAAGGCAAAGGGGTATATGCGAAGGTGAAAAGGGTACACCCAACCCCGCTCTGCTCAAAAAGGGGTCCAAATCTTGTGAGCCTTTTTGGCTTCCCCGGTTTGTCAGGTTTTGGCCGCCCTTTATCGGACAAGGCTATCCAAAAGAATGGTTGAGCTGGGGATTCTAAGTTCCACGTGATAGTGTCCAAGGAAAAACACTTCAAGAAAAAACACACCTTCTCTACACAGGGAGTCTGAAAGGCAAGCCTCATATGAACAAGGCGGTCTGAAAGCAACCCATATGAGCTATGAAGCCCTTAGCCTGGAGATCGAACAACCCTTCCGCCCGCATCGCGCAGAGCGGCTTCACCTTGGCGGCGCTTGGCTCAAAGGCTACGACCTGCAAGCCGTGCGCAGCCGCCAGCGCCGTGAACCAGCCGAGGTTCATGCCTTGGCTCCATTTCCAGCCCCAAACCACCTCCCCGGGTTTCAGAGGACCACTAGAAGTCACTACATAGTGGTTTGCGGGAAGTGGAAACCATCTTAGATCGCTCCAAGGGAAGCCCAGCCCAGGCCCCTAAGGAATGCGGCTCAAGCTTGGTATGTATGGGTACTACAATGTCACAGAACACAATAAAACAAAACATCATCCAAACACAGGCAGTATGTAATATAAAATATAATGTAGTATGTACATGTCTGTCATGTATTTTTGTTTTGTTTATTGTTTTTGTTCTGTTTGTCTTTGGCGCGTTGTTGGCAATGATCTTGCAACCTTTCCAGCCCGGTGCAAACGTCCTCACTTCTTGAACATCGAATCGGTTTCGGGCCAGCTACACCGGGGTAAAAGCAGACGACGCAACTTCACTTCTGGGCGCTGGGCAAATCAAATGGAATGGGGATTTGTGCCATCTGCTTTTACCCGACTGAATAGTGGCGGCGACCTGTACGATGGCGAATTCACGGGCTTTCGGACTAGGCAACGCCACGAATCCGACTCATACGAGGTACCAATGTCAATGACCACCGAGAAATCCTCGACCTCGGATGGGACTTCCCATGATTCCATGCTGCGAATCTGTGCGAAAACAGGACGTAACACAAGCCGCCCATCATGTTCAAGCGCAACGTTTCTTTGTTCCACCTTTGTCTGATTGGAATATTCTCTCGAACGCAACCTGATTGCAAGAAAGCAGCCTACAAGCATGCGCGACACAGACACAATGGCGCTTTCAGAATCCGCACTTCAGGATTGTCCAATCCGAATGTTTGAGCCAAGTCCATCTCTATCTCCCATGCCAAAGGCACGCATCCCTCATCGAAGGCCCACTGCGTCAAAAGCGTAAGAGGACCTTGGCGGGGCCAGCCCACCCTTTCTTTGAACATGCTCAATCACCTGGTTTTTCAACAGGGTTCAAGGAAAAATTGAACAGCGCGCTCAAATCCCCGCGTTCGGTTTTCACTCTGTAGAAACAAACAAACAATAGAATCAACAATCAATACATTTCAGCATGGAAAGCGGCCAAGGTCATCCTGATTTCACTTATCAACGAAACATGATATGGCCGTTTCAGCCAATTTGCTGTGCAAACACGCAGCCAGCTGACTCCCCGTCATTGGCACATCCCGATTTGAAAATTTATTGCTTGAACACAAACTCCTTTTGAGTTTTTCTGTGTATCAAGCGGACCAGTTGGCTTAAACAATTGTGCAGCTGCCCAACCAACCAACCAACCAACCAACCAACCAACCAACCAACCAACCAACCAACCAACCTGCCAACCTGCCAACGGGGCCCCGACGCGCTTTGGGACTTCCAGTTGGGCCCCCCGGCAGTCCCGCAGCTTCCGCGTGCGCAGCTCCCGCGTGGCGGGGTCTTTGGCGGAGGCCGAGACCACGTGCAGCCAGTGGGGCGCGGGCCAGGGCCGCAGGACCACCACATCCTTCGACTGCCCGTGCTTGCGTTGGCTTAAGGGAAAACACCAAAAACAAACACCTGTGGTTTTTTTTGGGGGGGGTCCCCCTATTTTTCAACTGGTTGGTCTCCACTGCGAGGTCTTGACGAAGTCCGCTTTTGACAAGCGGAAACCAAGAGGCGTCTTTGAGGCACGGTGTCCTTTTTGAGTTCTGAAGGGGAAGCAAAACAAAACTTGGACCCGTTCTGAGTGGGCTGGACACAATGCTCTGCAGTATCATACTGGTAGCCATTTGTAACAAACATTGCCTGCCCGGTGACCAATCCCAAATGGGGTTGGTCCAATCTCTTACCCTAGCTTCTCTCTCTGCGATCTAATGTCTGTGCTCCGAACATTGACATATTGGGCACATCCGAAGCTCAAAATCGAGCCTTCGAAACACGCCAAACCATCCCAACAACGGCTCAGGCCTCCGCCTGTCTATCTTCAATCTAGACTTGCACACTGATGTCTTGCACTGAGCCCTTGGGGTACACCAACTATCCCTGGGCTCAAGTGATAGGAACAAGAACTGGAAGCCTGGATTGAACATCTCAGTGACATGCAAGCAGCTGACAGTATTGCCAGGAAGGACCACCAAAAATTACAATCAGTATGGAAAAAACAGAGGACCACCCAGGCCGATGCCCAAGTGATATTGCACGATGCTCATGCGAGCCCCAAACAAGCTTACTTGCTGCCCTAAGAAGTCATTTGGGAATATTGGATGTCCTCTCCAAACCACTTTATTCAGTTGCTGATCAATGTACCAAACAGTGAAATATCCACACCAATATTCTGAGGCTCGGTGAGTGGCTCCATCATCGCCTTCAGGGCTGGGCTCATGCTCTCCTCGGGTGCGAACGGCGAAAAACCTCGAGCATCGACTCTAGTTCAGGTTGGGACTGTTCCGGGGCATCCTAAACGGCTTCTAATAGATAAGGTCTGATCGCTTACACCAAATTACAGCGTTCGCTTCACTAGTGACTGCTGCAATGGAGAGTGTATTTTGCAAGCTGTTGCAGCACTGCTTTCCCCAACAGCAGCGGGTCAGTGCTCCACATGCTGCACTCGCGTCACTGAGTTGGTGACCAGATTATGCTTGTCTCGGTTAGATGGCCCATGGTTGGAAGGCCTTTGTCGGCCGAGTTGCAAACCGGAAGCGTGTTTCAATTAATCCTGACTATGATCTGCCAACGCTTGTTTATGCTTCAAATTGTGTGCACCGAGCGATGTCCTCGGGGCGTCCTACCCTGACGACCCGTACTCATCATTGGAATTCGGTGGTTGGCCTCTCAGGGCTGCGAGTCGGCACCTGTCCTCTCCAATTTGTGTTTCGCACGTATTACACGCCGCGACTCCCGACGTCACAAACAAACTGACCCTACCGCCGAAAGCTTGAGTCCACGTCATCCTTTTGAGTGGCGCTCTTCAATGCCACATTCGGCACAGTTGAACAGGATCAACATTACAACAACTGTAAACATAAACAACAAATCGACCTGGTAGACAGGATAGCCATCAGGTGTTCGCTGTTTACTCTCAAACAAATGTAGCAATACCGACTTGAATGCAGAAGCGAGTGAAGACCAACTATTTGGACTTTGTAAATACACCAAGGAAAAGAACCACAAACCAAAAAATGAAAACCCTCAGAATCTGCGGGCTGAGTGCAACGACAGGCTACTTGTTTGCAGATTAGACGCGTATGCAATCGATTGCCCTGGAGCCAACCTTGCGACGTCCAACCCATCGGACCTGCCAGCATCGTCGCGGTGGTCAAACTAGGAATTCGCTTTCAGTCCAGGTCCAACCCTTTCAATGGCCGCTTTCCATGCCAACCCATCTGCGCGCCATGGCGCCAAACCCCAACCTAAACCAATTGAGCCGATTGAAAATACACTCTGTTTCCCGTCCGATGAACTGTTGGCTAGCCAACAATCCTATTAATTGGATGATGATACATTTTCATATTTCATCAAACCTTTTCTTCATGGTTCAATGCGCGAACAAATCGGTTGCCAAACAAAACAACATCCTTTTCACAAAACGACCAACAGTTCCAAGATGTTCCACGCTCGCGTCAGTGCTGAAAACCCAACCTTAAATGGGAAATCGGGGACCGTACTGGGAACCTACCTCGGAACCCGGCAACCTTTGGAAATCTCGAAAGTGTGACTCAGAAACTTAAACTTGAGAACCTTGTTTGCGAACCTTTCTTGGGAGGCTTGCTCAGAAACTGCAGGACTTACGCAGGAACCCTACTCTCAAACACGCCAAGTGCTCTTCACTCTTCATATCTTATGGTGCGGCTGGCTTTCCAGGAAGCGCTATGGGTCACACAAGATTTTAGAGGGGGCCAGTCAGCCATTCATGCCACCCAACAAGCGTGGAGCTGGGGCTCACCTAAAATCTGCTCAATCATTATGTTTAACACACATCCCAAAAAAGATTTCCAACTCGTTTTGGCACGTTCCCTCCATGGACCACAGCAAGCTAGGAAATTTGTGAGTCCCGAACCTTACATGAGCCACTGTCATCACCTACCACCCCAATTGTGAAGTCGGGGCACCTGTAGGGGTTGCCTCGCAGTACATACACAAATGTTCGAGATGGCGCTCCACACGTGCGCCCAGAATGCAAATCAGAGCACGTCGAATGTGTGCTCAAAATGACAACGCATTAGAGTTCGCAATGAAACCGAATGACCCGAAGCACGGTGGATGTGTGCTCAAACATGCTGCGCGTCGGATGTGTGCAAATCAACTGGGTTGAAATCAACCAAACGCAAACCACTGACTCGCTCAGACGCTTCTTCTTCTTTTTCCGTCACACTGCCAACGGGGGAAAATCGTGAGAGTCCATGCTACTCCCACCCACGCACATCTGCACCCATCGGTGCCATCTCCGCAAGCTTATCTCAGACAACATCTTGTCACTCCCCCGTCCGCTTTAGACAAGACTCCGCAGCATATGGCCCGTGATTGGGCAGAGAGGGTGAACAACCTGGGGCGCAAACTGCCCGAGCTCCTTGAGGCAGGCACGGCTGGGACCGTCACTATTGTTGGAGTTGGATGGCACTCGCGCGGCCCACACACAGGTCATGGCCAGCTCGCTGGGGTCCTCAAGAACCAAGAGGAATTCTCTCCAAGTGTCCAGCGCGCTCCAGTTGTCAACGAAAAGCAAAACTCGCCTGGAAGCGATGGCGTGCTTCCAGTGCAACAAGGCTGTCACCATGGCGTACAGCTCCGTTATGCCTATGACATGATGCGCGCCGTCCCTTCTCCACCTCTGCTGGCACATGGGAGCCACCTTTGACTGGTTGTCTGGTGGAAAGAGCACCCCACCTATGGTTGCCTCAGACCCAAGCTCTGAAGCTTCTTGCAGAGCCCCGTCAGTGAAAATAACAACCGGGGGGTCTCTCCAAGTAGCCTTAAGAGTTCTAGGCCTGCCGTGGAGGATCCTCTTGCGGAAGTTCTCAACTGCAGCAACGCTTTGAGGGCTGAGGGACACCGGCGCCCGCGAAACATGTCCGAGATTCTGGAGATCATGCAGAGCGATCCTGCCGGCCCGCCCAAAGATTTGGGCATCAGCGTATTGCAGCTTTCCAACAAAGGATGGCTGTTCTGCAGACACAACGTGTCCTTTTACGAGGGGGGAAATCGTGAGAGCCCATGCTACTCCCACCCACGCACATCTGCACCCATCGGTGCCATCTCCACAAGATTATCTCAGACAACATCTTGTGAGAGTCCATGCTACTCCCACCCATTCACATCTGCACCCATCGGTGCCATCTCCGCAAGCTTATCTCAGACAACATCTTGTCACTCACTCCGGCTGGGTGGGCGGGTCAAAAAATTCATGGCGTTGCGTTGGCGCGGTGTGTTTAAAGAAAAGAAAACATGTCATGCCCAAATTGTAAGGTTGGTCTCGCAGCATGCACATGCTTAGTCACCACCGCATCTCGAGAGCCTCATCTTGCAAGCCAGCCGCATGCACAACTGCAGGCAATGCCAAGAATGTACCACAAGTGACTGTTCTGAGAGTCCTCATGACCAAGAACACCCATGTAGGTTAAAACTCCTAGAGGCGTTCGGCACTTGGTGCCTCGCTATGCCCCTATTCATAAAGCGTCATACGCTCGCGTACAACAATCATGAGGGTATTTGGGCAATTATTTGGGGTGTCTTTTTGACTGTGCCCTCGGAGGTGGTTTAAAGGGAAATCGGAGGAGGTGAACCCCCCATTTTGGAGTAGTTTAAGACAAACCCATCTTCACCACCGTGACATGCCCCAGCTGAATGCTTCTTGTTCGCGGCTTTCCGCGCCTGGGTGGTGCAACACCGGCTGAGTCCTAGCCATTGGGTCCAATGAAGTGACATCCTCAAACGTTACCCTCTAAATTACGATGGTGCGAACTGTTTAGATATGAGTTGACCAAACATGAAGCACAATCTGGGGCTCCCATCCCCCCAAGGCAATCTGAGGGGGCTCCAATCCCCCCAAGGTATTTTTGGTAGTTTCCATAGTTTCCCTCAAACTGGTTGGAAGGGACCCAGGCAAAACCTGCGACTGGAGCTCCGAGAGTCTCCTGGAGGGGCTGGCTCGTGGTGTAGGCATTCCAGGCCACCAGGCCCAAACCAAGCAGGAGGATGAGCAGCAAGCCTGGGCCAAACCCTGAATCAATGGTGTCTATCTGAGAAGGCTCCGATCAAATGATTAATCTCGCACGTACAGGACACTCTTTCATAGAAGCATGCATGATTAGGCTCTTTCATCATTTGATTAGGCAACCCTGAATCCATTTCACCGATGTTTCAACCCAACCCACAGGAAAACAATAATTTGAAAGACCCCCTATTTGGACACATACCCGTATCCATTGCCATATCCAATGCCAAAGCAAAGCACACATTCGCAGATCTGAGCCCTGCCTGCTTGCCGGGAATCCATTCTCCATCATGGCTGGGCAAATCCAATTCGCGCTGCAAGGAGACCACACGTGTTGATTGGTTTGTCTGCTGCTGCCGAAAGATTGGCTTGGCGACTCAGCGCATGACATCAGTTACACATTATATGAGGGCTAAAGGATGCCTTTTCTCCGGCTCCGGGTGAAGCAAACCACTTTTCCCAAAGAATCAAGTCAGCCAAACACGCATCAAAGTACTGATCATCATTGCTCTGCAACTGTGTGTTTCATGTTTGATCACTTTTTAGTCCCCAAGCAAGGCCTTGTTGTCTTGCGCCTCAACCAATGGCCACAGCAACTCTAGCCTTCAGCGCGCTGGGTTTAACTTGTCCCATCACAGAAACGCAGGCACAAATTCACACACAAACACACAAACCACGCTCGCAAACCCACACAGAGACACACGAAAACAGCCACACACACACACAAACATAGGCATGAGGCCAATTTACAGCACTTACGCTCTTCAGTCCGATACGCTGCGGCTCTCTTTTCTTGCAAGCTTGGCCTCATAACCTGCGGGGCATCCGGAGCAAGACGCTTGCCCCAGCATCACCTTGTGCACCTAACAACGCGAAGCTCAGCAAGCAAACCCAGAAGTGATGACTCTTCAAGCCAAGGTGCATGCCGCAGTCTGTCAGCATCCTTACACGGACGCAAAAAAGCAGAGGGCATCTGCTGCCCAACAATGACACGCCGGAAGTCGCGCGTAAGCGTAAGAGTCGCACTTTGTAGTCGTGGAAGCTGATGGGATAAGGGGAGGCCCAAAACCTCGAGGCCACTCCATGTATTTGGGGTTCACCCAATAGACAAACCGCCTCTGCAGCCTAGGCACTGATTCGACGCCAAGCAAGGCATGAAGATATGAGCTTTGCCTCGCCAATGAATGGCCGCATTACCTGACAACTGCAACGGGCCTCTGGAAAGCAGCAAGTGGTTTGCCCAGGTCTGTGTGGAGGCATCACCGATTGCCCAAAGGCAATGTCCCTCTCCAAGCAAGCCACAAGAGGGCAGCAATAACAGCAATCAGGCCCTCTTCTGACAGAACTCAGACTGTGTTCTAGGCTTATCAACCAACGCAGCTAGCTGTGATGCTATTAGGGACCAAGCTGCAAACAGGCAACTTAAGGTATGAGTGATGCCAAGTGACTCTCAATGTGTCGTGGATCAGGCATCAAGTCTCCGTAGGCCTTGGCAGGAGCCACGCGTGACAACCCCTTTGTGCACATACTTGTCAAACTCGACCCAACACCAAAAGTAGTCCATGTGTGGTATGATCTGTTAAACATAAGAGACACAAAACAATGATCCGAGTCCGGAACAAGGACTTCCAGTTTCCATTTCCATTTGCTCGAACACATGATTGACTTGGCCTTCCCCGGGGGAGGAATGTAGACCTATGCTGACCAAGCACCTTGTAGGGCGCGTGGAGCGCCATGTCCTGACGAATCAACCAACATGTTTACGCCAGAGGCACATTGGCCATCTGAAACATGGACACTGTGGGTAGGTGTTTACACGCAATCAAGCAAACACACAAACAAACCAACAACACAACACAACCCCACACACACACAAAAACAAACAAGCAATCAAGCAGGCAAGCAAACAAACAAACAAAAACAAACCAAAACAACACAAAACAACACAAAACAACACAAAACAACAAGCAAGCAAGCAAGCAAGCAAGCAAGCAAGCAAGCAAGCAAGCAAGCAAGCAAGCAAGCAAGCAAGCAAGCAAGCAAGCAAGCAAGCAAGCAAGCAAGCAAGCAAGCAAGCAAGCAAGCAAGCAAGCAAAGCAAGCAAGCAAGCAAGCAAGCAGCTAACAAACAAACCCAAAACAACAAGCAAGCAAACAAACAAGCGCGCCAACAAGCAAGCACTAAGCAAGCAAGCAAGCAAGCAAGCAAGCAAGCAAGCAAGCAAGCAAGCAAGCAAGCAAGCAAGCAAGCAAGCAAGCAAGCAAGCAAGCAAGCAAGCACAAAAAAACAAGCAAGAACAAGCAAGCAACAAACAAAGAAACAGCAAACAAGCAAGCAAAGCACGCACGCACACACACACACACAGACAGACAGAGAGACAGACAGACAGACAGACAGACAGACAGACAGACAGACAGACAGACGAACAGACAAACAGACAAACAGACAAACAGACAAACAAACAAACAGACACACACACACACACACCAAACACACACACACACATACGCGATTTCGCACCGTAGCCCTGATTGGTGGTTTGTTTTGGTGATTTAGGGGTTGGGGGCAATTTCCCATTTACCTTCAACAAAAGCAAAAGGCTGTATACTGTGAACAAGTAAATTCCAGCACTGTTACAGGTGGCTTACCTCAGCAATGTAGAGTGTTATCCATCAAACTGGTGCAGAATTATGTCCGTCCGGTCGCATGCAAATGAGCAACTGACAACATCTACCGGCTGGACGTCTACTGTTGCTTTGGGGAGAACATGGGTGGACAGCATATTTACAATTTATTCTTCTTGGTCAAGAAATTCAGTTGACCCACAAGTTCGGACTGGTCTGTCTGGCTCCTCCATGCGATAATTGAGGAAGTATTCACGTCCCCAGCGGTCCGCCACGTCAGCGAAGGGCACGATGCCCACCTCCTTGGCACTCGACAAATGTCTCGAATCAATAGCTTTTCTGTTGGAGGGGGCTGTCTCCCATTTTGACACATACCCATTTGTAGTCTTCCCCCTTCATGTGCTTGGGTGTGCCACTGGTGTGCCCGTCAAAGGGGAATTTGACAGACTAGATTTGTCCAGCGGCTGCCAGGCAAAGGCCCAGCCTCAGCAATTCATGATGCAACTCAGGAACTCATCGGCACAGCCGCAAACATTGTCAAGGACACACAACAAAAGCGTGAAGCACGCGAACACGCAAACAACGACCACGCTGCGGATGGTTGCAAAATGCATAGCTAGGCGCCTGGGACGAATGGAACCCTAAAACTGGCTGAACCACCGCAGTCCAAGTGATCCCTGGCGATCAGCAAGCCAAGAAAAAGGCAAGCGGCATGATGTCACCTCGATGCCCTGGCGCGACCTGCCAAGGGGATCAACGTGGAACCCCAAAGTTGGTGTTGGCCCAAGCTTTAGCCAGTAAAAAAAACATCCGCTTCACACCAGGAAGGAGGTAGTATTCGCATAGCTTCATCCATTCCATCCAAAGTACCCTGTTTCCTTGACAGGGATCCGGATCTCTTGTAGGGGAACCCCAGGTTGACATTGCGGAAATGATGCAATGGGCTACGGAAACCTTAAAATGGATGGGTCTCCCTTGAGATTTGCACTGGCCGCATGCCGATGTGGAAAGGGTGTAGAGGGAAGGGGAGGAGTTGGCCGGGTGGCAAGGGTTTGTTCAACCTGACTGCCTTGGGATCTTGAGCAGATTCATACTCTGTTCCGGTTACTCCCCGCCAACATAAAATTGAGCCCGATTCGGGGGCCCCAAAGAGAGATTCCTCTAGCAATCCAGTTGAAGGTACCCCCAACTGCGCATGTCCGAAAATGGGGGGGGGATGGCCTCTCCCCTCAGAAAAACACTTCCGTATTGCAAATACACCAACCATGCAGAATAGCAAAGTAAACGCCGCCACTTGCAATTGTTGGGGTCTCTTTCCTTAACCAGTCAAGGGCCAAAAGGTAGGCGACAGTTGGTTTAGAGCAATTTTCAGGAGGCACTGTAGGCAGCTGAAAGCCAAATCTCCTTATGTCCACCATTCTTTTCCCAAGGTAGGTCGTCCCCCATGGACTCGGCGCCGCGCCTCGCAGCGCGCGTAGGAGGCGGTTTCGGCCCAGGGGGCGCGCCGCACCGCCGGGCCAAGGCGGAGCGTGGCCGCACGGCTGAGGCATTGGACCTGAAAACACGGGAGAAATGCTACTGATGTCTGATCTGAGGTCTGATCTGAGGTTTGTCTGTACAATGGCGGTATCCCATCAAATCTCTGAAGTCGGTTTAGGCCTAGTACAACCCAAATCTTAGATGAGCCACAATCAAGACCAGGTGGATGAAGCTTGGTGAGGGATAGTCCCAATAAATAGGCGCGGATATTCGCCCTTTCCATTTTAAGGCCTTGGGCAAAGCATAGTTCCAGGTTTGACTGTGTCTCTACCCTTCCGCCAAATAGGTATCCTCCGTTCTTGGCAGGTTGGGACCATTCCCGATCAACCTGTACACGAGCTTCTATCAAACTCATGATGTCCGCAAATGGCTTCCTGATTCCAATTCAACCACCAATGCCTACAAGGATTTCCACCCCAAAGAAGATTGTGAATGTGCTCTTTACATAGTGACTATTTACACATGTTTTCCTTTGGGTCCAGTGGTTTGAGGATAGTGGACACACACCTAGACTGGCCTTGTGTCTTGTGTCTTGTTTTAGGATAGCCCCGGTGGGAAACAAAAAGGACAACGGCGCCCATGTGCCTTTGAATCAATCAAATCATCTACCTGAAGCAAAACACCACAGAAAGTCGCTTCGTGCTTTTCGAGTTGGTGCCCGTGTTGGGGCGATTCAAAGCCATCCCAATGGAAATCAAACAACACATTCAAAATTAAACCAGTTCAAACGATTGGACACATGTATGACGCAGTTGGATATCTGGTTCCGCATACACTACACCTTGACAGTCGCTTTGAGAGAGCTGGCAATCATGGATGTTGACAATCTGGCTTCTAGTGGGAACCGCCTCTTGGTTGGCTCCAAAGGCCAACCCAAAAGAAAACCAACCATCAACCCATCTTGGGGGTGTCCTATTTTTGAGACACACCCATAATATGTCCCGGAATGAGTACCTCCAGTAAGGCACCAGCTAATATCCAGCAGCTTCAAATTATTGAGCTGGGGATTTCATCCAGCATCAGCTCGGGAATGCGAGTTTCAAGTTTGTGGTGCAAGCACCTCACCATTTCCTGCGACAGCCAGGCACAAGCGCAGACGGTCATTAAATCTGCTTCCGAGCTTGCCGTCATCAGCAAGTGCCCAAAACAGGCCACAGGTCGGGGATTTTATCTCTGGGAAGAAGGGTGTGCAAGAGTCACTTGATGCTTGTCCGAAGAAACACACATCCATGTTCTCGCTAACAGCCCAACCTGCTCGTTGAAGACCATGCGAGGCTCAAAGTGCAAGTGCCAATAGGCCAGGCTGCCCAAGTACACATCCTCCTGGTTTCCGATGCGCTGCAGGTCTCGGCCGTCACTCTGCAAATCGCAAAGCGCTTTGCGCCGGTCTCCAAAGGGAAACCTCGAAACTAGTTGGTTCCCTTTGTCTTCCCTTCAACACAAGCCCAAAGAGGGTACCCTCGACAAAACACACAACTGTCCATTGCTCCTCTGGACTCAGCTGCCGCCCCCGGACAAAGCGCCGGAAATTGGCCGGCGCAAAGTAGCTGTCTGTCTCTACCTCGAAATGCGAAACTTGAGGGGCCGATTGGGCATGGAGAGTTGTCAAAACTAGGGGCCCTTTTCGGTCACCCCTGTCAAGGCGGCACACTTGGCACCAGAGTCCCACATGAGGCCTGTATTTCTGGCAACTCGTGCGTGAACATAAGGCGTTGGACCTCCAAAATGGGGCACTTCCTTTTGGCCTCCCTTCAACATCGCCCAAGAAAGGGTACCCAAAAAAGGCACCCAGTCCAACGACGCAACCACACCACAGCCTGGCGTCTTCAGTTGGCCGAGTCACCCGACAAATCCAATCTTCGAGGTTCGCCTCCGAGGCCAAGTGAGCAAAGAGCAGCAGGTCCTTCTGGTTGGCGCCAGAAACCCTCAGTGCCAAGGGGCCGCCGAAGATGTGTTCAAACAACCCAACCCTCACAGTTGCGCAACTAGAAGAGGGACCCAAGGGAAGTCCTTGAAACAAGGTGCTCAAACATGTCCAAACAGCAAAATGACGCACCCCTGGCGCCGACACATACAAGGCCCAACACCATACGAGTGCCTGAGAGAGTTAGGCTTTAGTCTATACCCCCTCAAATCGCTCTAGTAGTCAGATACAAAAAAACATGTAAATTGCAGCGAAATTGAGGCATGTTGGCCACTTTCAAAAAGCAAAGTACCGGCAACCTATGTTTTCTGCCATGATAATTTTGAAGAAGGGTCTCTCCATTCTGATTTTCCCTCAGGCAGGAACAATGATAATATGATGCCGAATCACCAAAATGACCCAAACTCACCGCAGCAAATTGACAGCAGCCAAGTTGTTCTGCCAGTGGTTTGAACAAACACGCACTATCACCCGCTGCCTCGCTACATCCGCGAGTATAACTTATAACCCATGTCAAAACTGATGTCCTTTTAATTTTCCCCGTACAGTCACAAGGAGAAACAAAACACGTTGCCTTTCAAAGAAACAGCCGCTAAAAGCACAGCCCATTCCAACAACAAACACCACGCTTTTTGTTTGGCTTTTGGCTTCCAAGTGTCCCTTGGCGGCCGTGCGCTGCCAGCGCCTCCGCCCGGTCACGCAGCATTGCTGGCCACTCAGCCGCCAAGTCCACCACTGAGGCACCTGCGAACCCAAGACCCAGTCGTTGTGTCTCAAAGGGTTCTCCCCTGAAATGGCAACTTGAATTGTTTGTTCTAAGCCGGCAACGGTGTCCTTTTGGTTTCCCCCCATATCAATCAAAGAAACTCCTCATTGATTTCTAGTTCCACCTTCTACCCCCCTGCAAATTAACTCGGAACCCTAAAAGGGTGCCCGTAACAGGAGACTCTGTTGGAAATGATGGATTTTGGAAGCCCGAAAGCATCAAAACGGCCATCGGCTAGTGGTCGCCGAGCCAAATTGCGGGCGCCCCCTGTGTCATGGCCGGCACAAAGACCCGCAAAACACAAATCTACTGCGGTTTCCAAGCTTTCTAGCTCATGCGGTTGGGGAAGGGGTTTCCTAAAAGGTCCCAAGGGTGTCAAAGCAAAGCCTCCCAAATAGGTAAAGGCAAACCTGAGCCAAGCGACCAGGGAGAAGTCCGCCCAGGACGCGCCGAGCTTCGGCGGCCGTCGCGGCGTCCGGCGATGCCAGGAAAAACACGAGCCTGGTGTGGACGGATTTTATTTGTTTGTTTCAAGATTGGTCTTCCAGCTTTGGCCCCTGAAGCGCACCCCAACCTGTGTGGTTTAGAGTTTGAAGCCGCGCAAGGCCCAGGGGTGTAGCAATCAGGTGAGATGCTTTGGTCACGGTTGGCGCCTATCGCATGCAGTGGCATACGTCCCCGCAATGACGGTAGCGGCCCGCTCCTGCCCCAGGGCTGGTTAGGTTTAGGATGGTTTAGGGTTTAGGATGGATAGGTTGTTGGACCTCTCCAGCCGCCAAACATGGGCTCCGGATGTGTCCCCCAAAAAGGCCCATACCACCTGAGGCCTCACGCGATTTGTTGGGCAAACATCGCTGCAGCCCCCTGTCAGCTTCCCAGTCCTCGCCCGGCCAAACCAAAGGTATTGCACACAGCACGGAGCTTGCCTTACAAGCGTGCTCTCTTCCCTCGCTGACCTCTCTCTCTAGGTCTCGCCCTGGGTGTTTATTTCACCTGCAGCTTGTTGGAGGAAACACATCCCCCATGTTCAGCTTGAACCCTTGTAGCCCACTGTGCAAATATTGAACCTGATCGTCTTTCATGAATTTTTCTCTGTCTCTCTCTCTTTCCGTGCCCTCTCGCACGCTATGCACCAAAGAACGAAGACAGCGCTTGCATGTTCATGGCAAACAGTCCGCTTTCTTGCTCTGGTTGCATCTGGGCCGCGGAGGTTAATGTTCCCGCTCTGCAGACTTCTGCGGTTCAAGAGGCGCAACAATTTTTGTTCTGCAGTTGTCAAAATAGGAGCCACAATTGTGGTTTCCCTCTTGGCTTCCCTGTAAGCCAATCTGAAAAGGTATGCACGAACAAAGAAACAGAGGAACACACATCGCCAAATGCGTGCACCCGTGAACACCCACTTCCGCGAAACAATTCCAAGCTCTGTTGCGGATGTCTCGCAATCAATGCCATTACGATGGCGTAAACAATACACCGCCACGCTGGGCAACTCTCACACAATGCCGCTGCTTATCTGTATATTAGGGGCTGATCCATATAAGCGCTTGATCCGCTGATTTTCCCAAGGTGGTTCTCGCGGGGTGTGCAACTCAACTCCTTCCTTCAAAGGGCTACAAAATAAGCCGCAAAAACGGGCACCCGCCCCACCAAGAACCCACCACAGTACATGCCCAAGCTTCCCTGCAGCTTCCTGCGTGCGAGGTGCTTCCCCTTGCGGCTCCCGCAAGCCTTCCAAGTGATCCCCTGGCAATCCACAGGGCGGAGAGCCAGAGTCAAAGATTGAAAGGAGTAGGTTGTAGGGTTGGAAACAAGCAGGCCAACAAACAGGGACGGTGTTTGGTTCTTTCTAGAGGGCTACATGCTCAAACCTTGAGACATCCCATCGCCACCAAACATACATCCCTCATTGGTTTCAACACCTATTGGTGGTGGTTGGAGAAGCAACTCTGCCCAAGCCTCTTTTGCTTGTATGCCCCACCTGAAACAGTGAGAAACACTTTGAATCAATAGCACCCCACCCCCCCACCCCCATTTGTTGCCCTGCAAGAATCCAACACCGTGCGGCCTGGGGCTCCCGATGTTGATGCGAGTAATCGGGCTGTTCAGCACAGGGGGTCGGGCCAATCCAAATATATCTCTCACTAAGGCAGGACTCTTTTCGCACACGGACGGACGTTGCGTATTGCTTGTGAACAGAAAGCAAATCCGTTTCCGACCCGCCTCGTTTTTGACCTCAATCCTACCTTTGGCTGCTTGGGCTCTCCAAGGAACAGGGAACACAAATCCACACACCAGGCGTCCCCAGCTTCCCAGTCTCGAGGGATCTGTGGCCTTCAGGTGGACAGTAGCTGCCCATCCGCAGACCAGTGGCCCACCAGCTGCTGTTGCGCTGCACTCGCGGGCCCGCCGACCAGTAGCTGCCTGGGTCTGTGGCTCATTTCACCCAAGACCCAAAGCAAGACCCAAGAACGCAAGGACCCCAGGACCCAAGGCCCATGAGCCTTTGGTACAAGGGCCCCTTCCATACTCTGGGATTGCATGAGAAATGACCCAACATGTCCAACACGAGGGGTGGTTTTATAGTGGTCATCCCAGGCTGTATTGGAACAACCCTTAGAGTTGGCTCTCCTTTTGGCAACCCGGAAATGGACAGCTCTCGCGCGAAGCAAGGGACTTCTTTTGGCGTTTGAAGGGAAACTAACAGGATAAATGAAAAGATCCTTTGACCCGAAAAAGCTCACAACTGATGCAGCTGAAAAACTGCTGCCAGTCTGCCGCTCTTCTGATACGATGGCGGATGCAGGAAATGCCGCTGCCAGGAAACTCCTTGGATGTTTTCACTTCTCACATCCCGTTTTGAATGCTCCAGCTTTTTTCCAGCATTCAGAGCCTGTATGGGTTGCTGTTGGAGCTGTTGGAAGCAAGAACATCAGGCGCCCCTTGCTCGAGGAAGCAAGTGCATAAGGCTAACCCCAAGTAAGCAGGTGGCTTGTTTGACCATACTAGTACTGTGTCCATGAAAGTGCATCCCAAAATTACCCTTTTTTGCCGGGGCATCCTTTCGGCTTTAAATTTTTCCCTCTGGTAGTCTTTCTGGGGGGGTACCAGAGCCATTTTGAGAACCGCTCAAGATTGTCCTTCGCTTTGAGGCACCCGTGCTCACAAAATACCGGCACTCGTCTGGCACCTTTAAAAGGGCGCTGCAAGCGAGTCACTTCCAATTGCGGAGGACCTGACCAGTCCACAAAGGCCAGTAGGAGCCATCCAAACAGCCTCCCAGCGAAAACGGCAGGCAACCGTGACTGCAAAAACCCTACCATGAAAAGAAAATATAAAAACAGTGCTGGGGGAAGGCCGACTTGTTGACAACAACCAAAATAAACTAGACCACGGTTGGCCCGAAAGCAGAACATCGCAAGCGAGGTTGTCCGCACAGTCCGCGTCAAATCCAACTGCCTCCTGCAGCAAAAACTCTACAGCCCGTGGCTCTGGAAGAAACCCTCCACGTCGGGCGGCAAAACCTTGTTAGTCTTCGCAGCCCAGTCACGCGCCGTTTTTTTTGGCACGACCTACATCCGGGGTCTACGTGTGCTACTTCTACGTAGTGCCGCACGCAAGTCAGACTTCGGGCTTCCGCTGCGTAGAGAAAGAGGTACTGCAGCTTCTTCTCCAAGCCGAGCTTCGAATCATTCTCGTGACGGCGCCAGTTCGCGCAGTGTGGCTGCCGATCACAAGGAGATCGCAATCCGTCTGTGCTGCGCGCAGTCGCAGACTGCCCTTGGCTTCCGCGTGGAGGTTGAGGAAACTGCGAGGAACCAGAGCTCGTGCCACCAGCTGGACCATGTTGGCCATCAGCACCTGTCCTCGCACCCACACCCATTTGCCAGAAAAAAGAACATAATTTGCCAGACAAAAAAACAAGTATTACAGTTCGCTCCTTATTCACGCACGCACGCACAGACCCGCAGGGAAGCGCAAACACAAACGCACACATATACACACGCACACACACACACACAAACCAACAGAAAAATGCAACCGCGCGCACGCATGCACGCACATATGCACGCAACAGCTGCTTGGGCACGTGCCCTGCGCGCAAGTTGCTCTGCGCAAGTGCTTTGTGCAACTTGCTCTGTGCAAGTTGCGCTGCGCAAAGTGCTCTGTGCAAGTTGCTCTGCGCGAGTTACGCTACGGAAGTTGCTCTGCAAGTTGCTCTGCGCAAGCTGCTCTACGCAAGTTGCTCGGCGCAAGTTGCTCGGCGCAAATTTTGCAGCTGGAGCTGCAGGAATGTACTCCGCGTATTACTCTTGTGATTTTGGAGCTGGAGGTGCGGGAATGTACTCCGCATACTACTTTTGCACTTAAAATTTGCGACTTTCAGCTGGAATTACGTGCAGCCAGAGCTGCCGCGGACCAGGCGGGGATCGCACCCGCGACCGCGCGACATCGGAGAGCAGCCGCGCAAACCACGAGACAATTGCCAAAGACAAATTCGCAAGCAAAAAAGACGCAAAAAAAAGGAGACAACTCCCGAGGACTATGTGTGCTACTTCTACGTAGTGCCGCATGCAAGTCAGACTTCGGGCTTCCGCTGCGTAGAGAAAGAGGTACTGCAGCTTCTTCTCCAAGCCGAGCTTCGAATCATTCTCGTGACGGCGCCAGTTCGCGCAGTGTGGCTGCCGATCACAAGGAGATCGCAATCCGTCTGTGCTGCGCGCAATCGTTGGCTTCCGCATGGAGGTTGAGGAAACTGCGAGGAACCAGAGCTCGTGCTGTTGGCCATCAGCACCTGTCCTCGCACCCACACCCATTTACCAGAAAAAAGAACATAATTTGCCAGACAAAAAAACAAGTATTACAGTTCGCTCCTCATTCATGCACGCACGCACAGACCCGCAGGAAGCGCAAACACAAACGCACACACATACACACGCGCACACACACACACACAAACCAACAGAAAAATGCAACCGCGCGTACGCATGCACGCGCACATGCACGCAACAGCTGCTTGGGCACGTGCC